TAAGGAATATTGGAGCTTCAGGGACTACTGCAGCAAAGTCGTCAACATGTTGAGCTTCATAAGGAGGCACAGCAGGAGGAACGTCCGCCTGGACGTAAGCTTCAGCAGCGTCCATTTCTCGCACGCCTTCAGGCACTTCAGGAGGCTCGCCGTCAGGTTCTTCAACTGTTTCCAGAGTCGCCCTTCGGAACCGGCAGCCACAAGGCTTGCTCCACCAGTAGCGGAATGCACCGAAAAGCAGCCATTCTGTCGCGAGCACCAGAACAGCGAAGGTGATCAGGGACCTGTTGTCGTCCGCCTCGTTAGGTGCTGCCGTAGACGATGAGGTCGTAGTGATAGAGGTCGCCGAGGCCGGTGTCGTCATCGATGTCGCCAAGACGAAGGAAGAAAGCCGAAGTCGTCCTCGTAGATCGTGAGGCGCACCACAGAGATGTAGCCAAGGTGCCAACTTGTTTGATGATCTCCTTGTCGGTGAGGTCAAAGTGGTGCTCGTTGACGTGGTCAAGAGTTGGCAGCGCACGCAGAACGATGGGATGCTTTTCCTCGTTGTAGAAGGTGACCATGCCGGATGAGAGGAGCTCCATGAGGGGGATTGCCACCATGGATTTTGTAAGCCCATCCGCTGTCCTCGAGGCGGTCGGTATCAATGAGCCAACAAATTCTCCCCATCATTCGTGCCTCTCGCAATGCCAAGACATACAGTCTCTGATTCTTGTCCTGCGCTATGCCTTTGCTGCCAGAGCACAGTTCATACAGATCTCTGCAGTCGCCACAGTCGTCGACGGGGAGCTCCTTCAGACCGTGCTCTTGAGCTGCTAGCAGAGATTGTATGGTGGGCTTCGCGATGAAATGCAGTTCGGCAAGTCTGACCATGATCATGGCTGAGGCCTCCAGACCGGAAATCGCCGCAAGAGTTTCCGCATGAGAAGTGCTATACGAAATCCGCTTGGCCTTTGCACCGTGAGCCCACAGGATGTGAGCCTTGCCGCGGAAAACTTTCGCGCTAAGCTCATGCTCATAGTCGTGCTGGTAGTCTTGCAGGTGATCTTCACACAGCAACACAAGAACGCCCTCTTGCGCATACGAGCGTGTGCTTCCAGCAGCGCTGGAATCATGGATGCATAGGACTCGAAGCGGCCCCCGTAGTCGCCTGTAGTGAAGTCCTAGGCCTTGACCACACTCGGACTGAGCTCGTTTGACAACGCCATTGGCCTGGCGTAGATGCTCCACACGAGCCCGAGTCACTTGTGACTGCAGCAGGCACACATCCGCGATGAGGTCTAACTTGGTGGCTGTAAGCCAAAGCAATCCGCCAAGTATCGAACGGAAAGATGTGACCTCCGCGGGGTGCAGGATGTCGCTGTCCTTCCGATGCGCTGGAACATCCACCTGCTTCAGCTTGGAAGCGAAGGAATCTTGTGATAGGAAGTAGCCGTCGGAAGCACGACTGTACTCGATGCCACAATGTACGAAAGGAAGGCCTTGTCTGGAAACCTTGCCGAACTTGGACACTAGGAGCTCGTGCTGTTCCTTGAGCCACTTGGTCTCGCCGGTAGCGCCGATGTCGTCCACGTGGGTCGTGACCATGGATTTGACACCTTTGCCGTCTTTCCAGAAAAACATGTTCTCGTCAAGCAAACTGGCACGCCCTCCTTGCTCTTCAAAATGACCGCGCAAACACAGCTGCCATGCCAATGGTGCATCGTTCAACCCATAGATGGGCTTGAGGCAGAAGAGGACGTAATCGCTAGCCTTGTTGAGGTCGATGCGCAGTTTCGAGTCGAATTTCCCAAGGTGGCGCCATACGTTCAGAGGAGCGATCACAGCCACGCGGCGCACTGGAGAGGAGATGCCCTTGGACTGCAGGATTTCCCTCACCTTGTCAAAGGACAACCCTTTGAGGAAGGCCCCTGAGACATCCCATGACTCGACGTCCCATGCCTTGTTCGCCGCCGCGCATTCTCTGGCTGAGTCGCGTCGCCGTAGTCGACCTCGTCGAAAGGCGACTCTTCACTTTGCGGTCACCGGACGGTTGGCGCTTCCACTTTCGAACCCACACCGCATCGACGATTACAACGCCGTCTGTAAGCGAGTTCACGTGCATTTTCGCGAAGCTTCCTGTCTCAGCAAATTGCTGTATTTCGGACGAGTCTGCCTCCTCCACAAGTGGCCATATGTCATAGGCCTCGGCCTCGGCGATATCGTCAGCTTCGTGATCTACTTTATAGATCTCGCCGTGCAGAAGGTCTGCGTACACGATTTCATCCACCTTTCTGGAGAACCCTCTTCGCCCAGAAAAAAAGGGGTAACTGTTCACTTTTGGTTCGTTCCCCCGTTCTTTTGGTACAACCGTGAACAATGACATTTTTTGTTGGTCGTTGTGCCTTTGGGGGGTGTCGCTTCTGTAGGTGGGAGAAATGGGACTTGGAAATTAACCGAGCAGATGAGTCGTGTCATTTGTCACTTGAGTGCGCTGCAGATTCATGAGTGGTTCACGTCAGAACATGTGAGCTTGTTGCGTATATGTAGCTGGACAGCACAAGCAACAGAGTGGTTCACCCACAATACAAAACGATATAATTCCTAACAAATGCGTATTCATATACGCATTTGTTAGCGGTGTAGGTTAAATCGTAAGTCTTTATATTATATATGTAATATATACGGTTTGGGCGGCGCTTGGCGCAATGGTGTGTGTGCCATGGATCCGATGAATGTCCACTCGCTTGCTGAAGCTGGTGCCGGGTGCGCCCTGCAGATATGAGTGCCAGTGTCAGTGTTGACGTGACAGTCTAGAATGTTGCTGGAATGTTGCGGTTTTGGCTCCTGTAAATATAAATAAACAAATATATATATATACATATATATGTGTACACTAGTGTGGCGCCCAAGGCATGTCACAGCCAAGTAGCCCCAGTAGCAGCAAGACTAGCTCTTACTCGCTGGAACTTGACAGCGGCGAAAACCTGCAGCGACACCAGCCCAGCCTCGCCAAGTAACAAACCGGTGAACTACAAGCCGTATCGCTTGCGCAGGCGCAAGAAAAAACCGGCCGGTGGCAGCTCCAGCAGCGCCCGCGGCTTGCCAGGCCCAGAGCCAGCCAACCCTGACACAAATAAGGATACGCCGTGCGACCAGGCAACTCAACCTGCAGTTGGGCGACGGGAGCGACCTTGCCCAAAGCACTTGCTGCCGCAACTCACCAATATATCGACCGACCCTTGGGCCTCTCCCTGTGGGACTATAGTGAAAGCTCCCATCCCAGTTCCTGCCAAGCAACCATCGGCCAAGCCGCTCCCCAGCAAGCTTAAGGTTGCGCCAGCCCGTTTCCCGCAGGAGGCAACTGCCGTGCCACCCAAGCAGCCAAGCGGCCCTCAATAAGGACGGTCTTGGGCGCCATATGCCAGATATAGAGCAACCGAAGTATATAGCATGCGTTCTTAATTATGTGAGTGCATTCTCAGTCAATTGAGTATATTATGAATATAAGGTATAGCTAATACATATTAAGCGTTAGATCCTTTTCCAGACGGATATCCCACGGATGTGCAATAGCAGGCTTGTGGCATTTGGAAACGCAGCAGTTGCATTTATAAAGCTCTTGGCTGCAGACCTGCCATGGCCTCCGATGCTGAGCAGGATGATGGGACTCAGGACCCAGAGATCGATGTAGGAAAACGTGCCTGCAAATTCATGTTTAATCAGCTTGCTTTGGGCGCAGGATTTTGGAACGAAATTGGTGTCTTCCGAACAAGAGGCGCAAAAGAGTATCTTGGAATTTGTGTTCTGTTGCTTCTGCTCGGTTTGCATTGTGATGAGACCCTGTGCAGGTCGTGAAGGCCACGGGTGAGATGCTGAAGCCGCTGCTTTGCAAGCTTGAAGGCGCTAATTACGGGCATCATGAAAAAAAAAGGTGGATTCTTGGAAACTGAGAAACTTTAAGCCTTTCAGCCCCTGCCTGCGCAGACGTCAAGAAGCTTTGGCCACGTGCGCTTACGCTTGCGCATCCGACGACCACAATCCCACTGGATTTTTTTGGAGACGGAGGCTTTCCCTGCAGTGGACGCTTGCGTGGACGCATTGTGTGTCTCGCGTTGCATTTGTGCCTGGGTGTTTTTTTACATTCGGTTTCTTGTTGTCTTAGACAGCAAGGAATCGCAAACTAGCCTAGCCCAGAGTCATGTGAGCCGTGCGCCAGCCCCCCGCGTCTTCTTTGCTGCAGCGCTTCGCCTAAAAGTGTTCTTTTTGTTACTGTTCACGGTGAGTTTGCAGTTGCTTTCTTGGAACTGAGGTGAGAATGGCCGCAAGTCCTCAAATGGATGATTTGGATGTGGGCATGCTTGCGGGTATACTGAAGCGGTGCTGCGCCAGGGTGAAGAAACTCCTTGGAAAAGCGGAGCATCTTGGCATAGACTGGTCTGCAAATTCACATGTCTCACTATTCCTTTCCCCCTGTGACTGCAATCCCAGTTCTTCATATTCTGCGAACATCGACATCCTGAAGAACAAGCACCTTCAGCTGCAATTAAAGTGTATTGCCTAGTGAATATTCCTGCGCTGCCTAGGATCCAGACGTGGCCCAAGGCTATTCGTGTGTTTAGATGCCCTTGCCTCAGGCTTGTGTGGCCAAAGTCCCGAGTCACGTGTGCCGAGAAGTCCAGGGTGGGCGCTGCATGTTTTGCATGCACGCATGTAAATTCTGGAGCCTGTGTGTTGTGTGTTCGAGTTATTCTGTTTTCGCTTGCCAGCGCGAGTACTACAGAGTCCTCATGGAAGTCCTCGTGGACTTTGATGACGAGCAGGAGATCAAAGAGTACGCTGAGACCTTTGCCCGGGATTGCTACGAAGAAGATGCAGACCTGATCAACTGAGCCTGAAGCCTGAGCGAGCGGCGGCGGTTTTAGAAAGATGCGCTTTGCAGACTGCGCGCTAGATAACCAAGACCATGTATTGCAAAGCGCAATGCCCCGCGAGGTACTTCGACGGCATCATCTTCGAAGGAAGGCTTGGCTGGCTAGTTTACCTCTGATTCGAGCAATCTTGAAGCGCATGCTTGCAAGTGTATTCGAGGCATCCTGAGAGTGCCAGAGTGTTTTGGGGCCCGAGCCAGTACTTGTGGCTGCAGCCCAGCCTTAATCTGACAATAGGTTGCGCAACTGGCTTCTGCTGTTCACTTTGGCAAGCACGCCGCCTTCTCAGTTTGCAGCGTATTCAGTTCAACGTGTGGTCATGTGGTTTTGTGATTTGTGTGTCTTTGGAGGTCTGTCGCGGCAGAGGCTTCCAGGGCCATAGTGGCGTCGATGCTTGCCGGCGGTGTGCCGAAGCTTGGCGTCCTTCTGCGCCTCCTGTTGCCTCTGGACAGAAAGTAAAGCAGTTGCACACGCGCTGATGCTGAATTTGCATGTGTGGTTCGTGATTGCTGAGGTTGTGGAACTGTGAGGTCCCGATATCCCCCAAATACGATGCGCTGGACCTCTTCAGCGGGGTGGGCCAAGTCAAGGTGCGCAGTCGGATGGAGAACATATATGCATAGTACATGTGTGGCGATTCCCTTGAAATGCTGTCTGTCTTGACCCAGGCTTCTTTCGTCCAACGCCACGACAGCGTCAGCGCCCACGACATAGAAATGCACCCGTCGCTCAACATCCTGGCAAGTGCTGGGATGGCACTCAAGCCTCAGATATTTTGTGCCGCGCCCGCATAAGTCCAGAGCAGATTGCGCGCGCCGGCTGCACTGGTAATAGCTGACCCCTGGGTAAGGCTCGTGCTGCACTCGCTGCTCTGCATGAAACCTTCCGGACTCCGGCTCCTGACGCGGCATTAATATGTATTTGGCTTCGTGCCTAGATGGTTTAGCTTGATGACATGAGCCGCACCTTGCCTAGTCTGAGGTTTGGCCTTTATCAACCCGTCTGTAGCAGTTGGGTGTGGATCAACCGTGCTTTTTCCAAGAGGAGCCCAGGCCTTAACATCTCACACGTAACGTTGCATGGTGCTTCGTACGCATGTCGCTTGCCCGGGCTAGGGTTCCACTGCTTGGCCAAGGCAAGGACGTTCCACTTGGGGACGAAGCTCTCCCAACGGTGGCTCAGGCGAATTTGATGGTGTCAAGGCCAGTGACCCTATATGCAGTGTCATAGAACGTAGCTGAGCAAAGTCGCCGTGAAGGTGCACGCTCGCTATGTTGATCAACCTTTGGTGGGAGGGAGATGTGCTGCTGGAGCAGCCGTCCTCATCGTTGATGAAATATCACCCCCGGGCGGTCATCTTGATGGAATGCTATCCAATGTGTTTCCAGAATACTTTCCTCGGAGCATGGGGCCACTGGTGCCCCAAACTCACGAGTTTCTATGGAAACAGGTGTCTCGGCTGTTTCTTGTTTGCGGCAGTGCCTGAGCCAAGTGAAGTGACATGTGACAACCAACCCAATGTGAGGCAGTGGATTTCGGAGATGTACCGGAAGTTCACTCAGGAGAAAAGAGATGAGGCCGAGCAGCGCCGTGCGCGACTGGGCTTGGAGAAGCCGACCAAAAAGGACGGAGATGGCAGAATCTCTGGCACGAAGTCGCTTCGCGCGACGCAGACGCTTGGTGACACATAGCTTGCAATTAATGTTGGTGTTGGTGTCCCTGAACTGGCCTTAAATGAGTTGAGCATCTAAGGCAGTATCCAGCTGATCTCGGGGAAGGAATTGTTCAAATGCTTCTGAGGAACCCAAACCGGAGCAGGCCACCCCTGGATGCTTTCCAAGCTGTGGATGCTGCTGATGAAAAAAGAGGGTGCGGCGCCTACTGTGACATGCATGCGTGCGTGTTTTCGATGTTTTGTTGCCGTGCTTCCCAAGTAGAACTTAGGTTCGAATTCTTCTATGATGATGCCGGAAAAGTGGCCCTCGGTGATACCTGGGACGACGCAAGGGGCTCATTAGCATTAAGGGTGCATGCATTTTGCAGTTCAGCCAGTTGAGTGACAAAGCGAGATTTGCAACCATGACAGGCCGATCTGTGGTCGGTGCTGACCTATCTCGCCAAGTCGCGTTACCTCCGAGTGCCCAGTGATGGATGGAGGCACATATGTGGGTTGTACATGTGGCGCAGGGTAAAAAACATACTTTGCCTGAAACCCAGGCAGCTGTTGTCAGATTTGGACGTCCGAAGCTTTTGACGCGCACAGAGCTGCGCAAAGCTTCGGCCTGGATGAAGCTCGGGGGATGAAGCTCGGGGGGACGGGCACGCGACAGGCAATCTAAAAGGTCGACCAATCATTCCACATATGGCAGTCCTTCCGAAGAATTGCTATAGAAGTAAAAGGCCCCGAAAACACTATACGTTTATTGGAGTAGCTCTGGATATATTTACGACCCCAAACTGGCTCAGCTCATACATTGAATCAATGTATGAACTGAGGTTAATTATTAAGGACAGCTTTTACGGTGTGTAACACGCCCCATTGTACTGGCTGAAGCTTGACATACGCGCCTCATGCGCCCGCCTAGAAGCGAAACAATAAATCTGGAGCCCGAAATTCAAACGATGTGCTCCATTCTCATAATATTCGATGGCTGAGGCTAGGCAAGGAGGCCCCAACAGAACATTTTCCTCACCCGAGCAGAACTCGGAAATCCCATGCATTTGCAAAGCATGGAAAATCCATTCTTCTCTATAACTGTATTGTCACATCCCCCAATTAGGCCGCCTATAATA